ACACACACACACACACACACACACACACACACACACACACACACACACACACACACTCACACACTCCTCCTACAACATCCAACCTGAGGGCCCCTGAGGTGATGTGTGTTGGCAACTGGAATTGAGGGTTATAAACCAGTGTAATCCCTGCGGCTGGCAAATTAAAGACCTAATCTCTCCCAAACAGGGATTAACAGTATAACAGAGGGTGGAGCGGCACATGCAGCCCTTATAAATGCACATGCTGAACGAGTGCTGGGCAGGCACAAACACGACACACACAATCCACTAAAATCATAGAGCATCTCTCAAAAATAGGCTAAGCCTCAAAACGAGGCGGCCCTGGAGGAATTATCTGCAGTGTGCATGAGTTTACCTCTCTCGCTGGCGTCGTCCACCAGGACGATCTCCTCCAGCAGCGTGTGCGGAGAGCGGTCAATGACGGAGTGAACGGTTCGTAGCAGCGTGCTCCAAGCCTCGTTGTGAAACACAATCACCACACTGGTGCGAGGAAGATTATCGGGGTATAACTTATTTTTGCACCTACAAAGGGCAAATAAAAAAAATCAGAACAATAAAAACAGCCTTTAATATGGATTAATATTCAAACATTTAATTTGTAGATGCAAAACAAAGAAAACAGAAAAAAGAAGCACACAATCCAGCCTCTGTCTAGCTGTGAAAGAGTTGTGGAGTTGTGGAAAGTGGGTCCGCACAATCAAACCAAACAACAAAAGGGACTGATCAGACTTTCAGTTCAACAAAGACACATTAAGGCTTCAGGCAGTCATTAAAATCAATCAGACCATTATCAGATCATGGCCTAGTAGAAAAAAATATACATTTTCTACAAAACAAAGAGTACTAAGAATGAGTAATGAGGGACCAACACAAGTGATAGTCCCAATTTCAAAGAGCGATACAACCCAGAGATAGTACATCTGCACAGCGACAGTTGATTAATGATCCTAATTAGAGTGCAAGTCATTAACATAGCAAAGGGCAGCACACAAGTCTTCCCCAGAACTAGAGAAGGATGCATACAAAACATCAACAGATGCATTACTTCAAATGCAAAAATTAAATAAAAAAGTTATTAAAAACCTCTTCCGAGGGGGAAAAAAAGGAAATGTTGGTTGAGTGCATTGTTTGCAGGTCAATAAAGTTCCCATGAAACCGTKAACTGAGTGATCCTTGATTCCACATGTTTATGTGTTTCCTGAAGGGAAGGCCCACATCCTGCATCTGCTCTGCTGCTCTGCTGTTTGAATACAGGAGTCCAGCCACAGAAAGAGGGTTAATGTGTTGCACTGAAACTAAAACAAATACATCACCAGCCCCAATCAACAATCAGCCTGCAAACTTTTTATTAGTCACGATTAATTAAGTAGACTGTGACGTCAACTACGCTGTCCTCATTCAGTTGTTTCACAGTAGCTGGGTAAATATGTGATTTTTGTCACTGTTTCACAACGGTGAGAACTAGAAAGACACCCTTTTTAAAGACGTCACCTTGATGTGTCAGCGTGCTCTGCTGTAGTAAATATACCAAGAACCAATTTATGCTTTGAGAACTTAAAACATATCTTAATGCAATGGTTCCCAACCTTTTTTCCTTAAAGCACCTCGCTCTTAAGCCTAATTTACACTACATGCGTTCCGGCTCCGTTCCGCTCCGGTCCGACCTCCGCAGCAAATACACACCCAGGGTGGCGGTGAGCGGACGGTGTTCCGGCAAAATTAGAACAAATCCTATTTTTGCCAGACGCCGGAGCTGCGCCGGAGTCAATTTTTAAAGATTACGTCGCAACAACAGGAAGAAAAACGAGCACAACATCCGTATTTTCAAAATAAGACACTTCTAGACTGGATAATTTGTCTGAATAATGTCGAAATCGCAGCTATATTAATAAATATATGGGTATATTTTTACACAAATGCTGCCAGAATGTATTGTTCTGTTTGGGAAGCTGATGGAAACATGTAGCATGAAGCATATGTGTACACACACGATACACGTGGGTTTTATTTTGAACTCAGAAGTTTCAGAAAGCCGACAGAAAGAAAGTTTCAACATAGATACCAAAAGCCTTTATATTGTTGTTTTCAGCTGTGTTTGGAGTTCGTCTTTCACAGAATTAATTATTTTTTGCTGTGACTTCCACATTATCACTAAATTTACTGCGCGATCTCCTTCCTGTACACCCTCCTTCCTCTGTGTGTCGGACTGGACCGGAGCTGAGTGCAGTGGATGCTGTATAAACTGGGGCACAAAACGAACAGCTGWGAACTGCGCACYGCAGCGCAGCGTAGCGGAGATGCATGTAGTGTAAATCTGGGGTTACTTCCAAGCCAAACTGAGCACCCCCAATCYCTCACTACTCYCCATCTCTGTCAAAGATGCGTCCAACTTTTATCTCTTGAGGGGATGAAAGAGGGGCTTGTGGTTATGAGAAAGAATTCAGAGCAAAGCATTGCACGTTATGTAAAACCCAATTGAATGATTTAAATCTGAAAAAAGACAGATTTAAAAGCACATCGACTTTAATGAAGTAATTTCCAAAGAATTGCTGTTAGACAGTCCTTACAAGAACACTAATCTTTAATAGGCTTATAGTGTAATGGTGATAAAAAATGTGACAGATACAAAAAGTTAATTGCAATTATTTGAATGGCAGATAATCTAATACAATATTAAAATCCCAACATAGAATAATGCTGGGTCAGATGCTGGCATGTAAGTAATGTGTAGCACAAGATATTTCATTTGAAACGTAATTATTTAAATAGAGATTCARCATTTTTCTGAATATATTTTACATTTTTTGATCTGATTGTATAATTTCCAGGCAAGGACAAATAAAGAAACACGATGATTCAAAACTTGCTAGGATTCAAAATTAGCATTAAAAAGCTGAACAAAAAGCATCCTCTACTTAAAATGTTTTTTTTGCTTCTTTGTTTTTAATTTAACGTGTCCCCGAAACATATTTTACCTGTAAAACAGTTTTTCTGTGAATCTCCAAAGAACCAGTCTCTGTGTTCATACATCCTAACAGAACACATTATATGTTAGTTCTGCAGATTTATTATATACAAAAACTGCATATCTTCAGCCCAAAAAAGCAACAAAGGAATAATAAAAAGCCAGTCTTTATATTTGCGGATTCTGTCAGAAAATTGAATAAACATACAGCATTCATAATGTAGAGAACGCTGCAATATTACTGTATAAATGAAATGTGCCACAGGGCGTTAGATCTTAGTTCAGCTTTTAGTGTCCATTTAAGACCTACTGTGGAATAATATGAATATTTCATATAGAAATATTTGCAAAGCAGATAACAGTTTTAATGTAAACACAATAAGGCTGAACTTGGTAAAACGCATGTACTTGTTTCAGTACGAGAAGTCTGAACTGAATTCAAGCAAATAAACTAACGAGGGTTTTAATTTGCCTGTGGAGGTCAGACCAATTGGAAGTCAGAGTTGTAAAGCAACTAAGTAYAAATACTTTGTTACTGTACTTAAGCAGAATTTTTGGGTATCTGTACTTTACTTGAGTAATTATTTTTCAGCCTACTTTTTACTTCTACTTCTTACATTTTTTAAAAAAGACAAGAAGTAGAAAGTCGTTACTTTTATTTCATTTTTGCTTGTTTTCATTTCAGCTTGTTATTGTAAAAAATAAAAACTATCCATATAAACTGTGCCTCCTAGATAGAGTGAATTTAACTGTGGTTGAATGAGAAGTATAAATATATAAAACTCTGATAGTGTATTAGTTTGTACACAAACAAATCATGTCACACTCCAGCAGGACATAATCATTAAAATAAAAGGACTGTACTTAAGAAGTATTTGTATTTCATGAATTATATTCTTACATTTGGCCGCAGCCCTCAGATAGATTTTCATTTTGGGGAAAAGCTTTGTGCAGCCTTGATATATGTATATAAACTGAAACAGCTGGACTAGTGCATCCTAAATTTAACGTCCATTCATTCTTTTAATACAACAGTCATTTCTGCAGTTTTTGGGGAGGTCACCTCCTAATAAATGTCCTTACAGAAAATCTAACTGCTCATTTTAAATCTATACGTTTACTTTTAATACTTAACTACAACAAATATCAGATATAAGATTTTTACTCAAGTAATATTCCTAAAGGAGACTTTAACTTTTACCAAAGTAATTTTTTGATAAGATACTTGTACTTTTACTCAAATATCACTTTGTGGTACTTTATACAACACTGCTGCAAGTTTTGTGTAATTTAATAAAAATCTATTTACCTTAAAAGTGTCTGAACGGCTGAATGCCACTGACACAATGCTTTATGCAATGATTCCAAAAGGGATTATAAATTTTAATTTGACATCAATAGATTGTAATGAAAATAAAAACAGATTAAACAGCCTTAGTTTTAGGAGAAAACAAAAAATAAAAAAAGGGGCAGTAATGAGATTCTGATCTATTCTCTGAYATTAAATTGTCTATCAGTCAGTTTTCTCAAATAAACCTCAGTAAGCAGCTCATCCATCAGCAACAGACAGAACTGATACCACCCCTGTGACTTCCTCTCTCAACTCTCCCAACAGCCAAATGRAATATGATCTCCCTTCCTCCATCTTCATTACTCCCTCCTTCTCCTCCTCGTGATCATCCTGCGCGCTGAAGTGCTTCCTCTGCCTCTGCTGCTGATTATGACAGAAGGAATGTAACAGCAACAGAGAGGGGGTCAAGAGTATACTTATTCTGCAGCTGCCTCTGGAGGATGTTAAATAAGACAGAAACTCTCCGTCTCGGCTGTGGATGTGCTCAAACTCCCCACAAGGAGGGAGGCTGATGATGACAGAATAACTGACTGTAAAAACAGAGTCATGGAGCCTTTCAGCCTTTATTCATAGTAGGCTTTCCTGTTTTCAGATATAAAATTTGGTAAGAGATGCACACATGCACTTTCTTTAAGTTGTGTAATGCAGATTTTTTTTTTTTTTTTTTTTTTGTAAACAGCCTGGGAGGAGGAGAAGTGTTTAGTGGCAGTAAAAACTGAGTAATGAGCTACATGCTGGGTCTCAAGCCAGTGGATTGTGGGAATATTTAAGATGGGTGTGCAAACTGCTTTTAATTAAATAAGATCCCTCTCGCAACACTGCACACACACATATAAACACATATGAATCCAAAAATGTCTCTAAAACACCACMGTCAGCAACCAAAAAAGAATAAAAACGACAGAAAAAGTTGAGTTTTCTGAAAGGTGTGGTCATGGAAAGTGTTTTCATATTCTGGAGACCCAGCCAGCAGGACCCACACCCACACACATGTATGACTGTGCTCCATGAAATGTTCATTTTACATTTACTCAAATGGGAACCCCCTTCACTACAACATATTTACAGAGTTTCACTAAACTTACTGATCAACATACATGTACACACACAAATTAAGTCTGAATGTATGCACGCTTTTACACATGCAAGTGCGCATTCCCTTCGCGTGATATTGACTCCGTCTTATCTCCTAATTGGAAAAGTAGATAGACGGAGGGAAGGCTGAGTGAAAGCACACCTAGTAATCAGCTCTCGCTCAGAGACTAAAACCCATTTCATGGATCAATGTCTTCATTCTTTCCTGCCTGTCTGGTATGCACATGTCTCTGCCTGACAGTCTTATGTGTCTCAGGCTGTCTCTCTCGCAGTGTCATGCTGAAAAGCCTCATTACTGACCTCTGTGTACTCCTTGACAAGATCAGAAAAGGTCAGAGGGGAATTGAGAGCTGAGCTGATTTCTGACTGACAGAACTAACCCTGACGTATCATTAATGCAACTGGTGCTTAGGAAGAAAAATCCTGCATGCACAGCAGTGATAGATCTGCAGGGCTGAAACGATTCCTCGAATAATTCGAGTAATTCGATTATAAAACATCCTTGAGGCAAATTATCTGCCTCGAACAAAGCTTTGTAAAAAATATATACTGTTATAATCAGTGCACTTTAGTCTGACCGGAATGTTATTTGTGTTACACAATGCTCCAACTTAGCGCTTCTGCTAACGGTTACACTGTCGACGCATGTATGCTTGCTAAGCGCTATACTTAGCTTTAGAAGAAGACAGAGTGAAGAAGAGTGCCAAAACGAAGCGCTCAGACAAATTATAAAAAGCATAGGAACATTTAAAAGTAAACATAATTAGACGAAAATGAGCAATGAGCTGCACATCCTCTATGTTTCTGCACTGGAACAAAAACAGCTGCTGCATGTACCGAACGCCTCCAGGGTTAACAACAGGTATTTGTTTATGTTCCTTTTGCAAATACRCTTACCTAAATCTGTGATAATCTGTCATGTTACAGATGTACAAGGAGGAGGTATATTTAAGCTAACATTATTTGTGCTGACTAATCATGGTGACCTGGCAGGGTTTTATTAAACAGTGTGTAAGCTGTGTGATTAAAAACAACACTTATTGTAAGTTTGTCAGATAAAAATAAAAGCACAGCAACAGATCGACAGCTTGAGCTGAAACATGTTTATTTGTTGATATGCTTTTATCTTAATTTAAATGAGACACTTGGAATGAATATTGTTAAGTTTAAAAATATTTATAGTTACCGTATTTATTCGTGTATAATACGAAGGTGCTGGAATACTTTTCCCCCTTTTTTCCACATCATGTCTCCTGCCTGGATCTGTTATTATCTCGCTCTGAAGCACGGAGGAGTCAGAGCTAAGCTTGTTTCAACTGCTTTTTAAGATGTGGCCTCATTTACGGACTCAATAATTTTGTGAATGAAGCYGATATTTCAGTTAAAATACATAAGTAAAAATATTTATCYGAGTATAGTACTACCCCCCAACTTTATGGATGATTTTATGGATTAAATTTTACTTATTATACTTGAATAAATACGGTATATTGAAATTAATCTTACATAAGCATCATAATGCCTTCCTGTTTCCAATCCTGCATATTTTTCATGGTTATTTTTTATTGTGCATCTAAAACTTCACAAATTAGCATATCTGTAAATTGTAACTAAAACTTGTTGATTCTCAGCAACCCACTTGCTGAAAGTGTTCACAGATCTGTTGTCTCTTATTCACAGTAAAATGTACTCAGCAGTACAAGTTCTGAATTTGACATTTCTGTCTAGTTTGACAGATTTAGGCTCATCTCCTGACCTGGGAGTCATTTAAACAGTGACGTGTCGTTTGAAGAGACTCTGGAAAGCTGCTTACCCCTCTAGACGAACATCAGGAAGCGAGCGATTGAGCGCGATCATCTCCGAGGCCATAAGGTTGAACTGGTTGATCTTAAACATTTCCTTCATTTTCTCCTGGTTCTCTTTAGGGATCACCACTGGCTTCCCGCCTTCACCTGGTCCGTCTCGTGGTCTGGACAGGGCATCTATGGCAGACGCACGCATGTATTTAGTCTTTGAGATATGTTATGTGAAGAATAAATTGTAGGTATGTGGATAGAAGCACGTACCGTTCCTTCCAGGCAGTCCTCGCTCTTTCTTGTCATCACATTTGTTGCACTCGCTGAAGTAGAGCAGAATGAACATGTCCAGCATCACCCAGACCAGAGAGGTGGCTAAAACCACCTTACAGTAGGCGAACCTTCGCATCCTAAAAATGACATTAAAAAGAGGTCAAAAATGGAGGAATTTTGAACTTCTAGTGTTCCAAGCCAGTTTTTTAATTTTGTCTTTATTTGGGTGGAAAACCTTTTTTGAGCTTTATAWCATGTTACAAAGTCAGTCCCTTGTCAAAAACATACYCAGAGTGTCGAAAGCWGTAGGAGTTTCTTAAAGACAGCTGAGGCCAATTTCAAGGCGTTCACATTAACTATGACGCAAAATAACCTTTTGTTTTTAACAACACAATAAAGACAAACATTATAGACAATTGTGCAATATTTCATAACAAAGCAAAGAACCAAAACAAACAAAAAGAAGATACAGAGATAAGAGAAAGGAGAAGTAAAATAAATAAATAAACTGAGCTGTAAAGTAAAACAAAATGTGCTTTGTCTTAATATTAGTCAAAATACCAGTATTTGAGGATTGGTAATTAATAAATATAGGGTGATGTACACAAAATTAATTTGCATAAAAAATAAGCAAATAAATAATAAATWAATTAATAAATAAATAAAAGTAAAAAAATGAATCATCTGTTTAAAGGGGCAAATAAATAAATAAATAAGGACATACCTGTATTATTCAAATACAAGAAAAAAATCATAAGAATCTATTAAATGCAAAACGTAAAACGAAAACGAGTGATAATATAAATATGTTGTACAAGGATTATATCAATAAAAATTATACAAAAGGGGATATTAATAAATACATACATTTCATGAAATAAAAAAATAAGAATCTAAAAAATGCATACCTGTAATATAAATAAATAAATAAGTCATTAACAAAAAGATCATGTAAATGTATTGTATATAAGTTCATAAAATTAATTAAAATAAATGAGTAAATAAATGAATAAATACATCAATCAATGAATAAATAAATAAATAAATAAATAAATAAATAAATAAATAAATAAATAAATAAATAGGCACATGAAAGTATTCTGAATTTGTCTATGGCATGAGTATGTCACTGGCCTTTAGGGGATTGAGATAACATAATTTTTGATATATACAGCTTTTTCATAACGACTGAAGGTTACTTTATTGTGGTATAGAACTAAACAATGTGCCTGGAAAATACAAAATACCTTCCCCCTTTAAATATCAGCCTGTTCAGATGTGTTCCAGTACCACAGTTCATTTACTCAGATATTTATTACGTTGTTGTTTTAGGGGTTCTCTGCAGTGTTTGACTGCAKCAACTGTGGATATTATAAACACACAACTTGTGTGCAGTTTTCTACTGAGGTTAACAATGTGAAAGGTAGAAAAAACAGGAAAGCTACAGTGGAATATCTCAGTATTTCTGAACACGGTCTCATTTCACCACATAACACAAAACGATTCCCCCCACATCAGAGCAACACTGTAAGAACAGCAGCAGCAGAAACAAGAAATGCCACACCAAGCTGTCCCACACATCTTTGAGATTGCCTCAGGGTAACAGCAAAATGCCAAGACATATAGACTTTTATTTGCGGAGCACCAATTCAGAACAAATTCAGAACGGAAGAATGTTTGAGCCTTAAGGTTACACGAGGTTGTAGGAAACCATACGTCCCTCTCAGCCACAACACATTTGCTTTTAATATCCAAAATAACTGCAAAGGAAGTAACTGAATATTCCTCCAAGTCTTTGTCTGCTGCAGAGCTGAGCTGTTTTCTCTGYGTCTCTGAACAAACTGGCATGTCGGCTGCCACATCAACTTTAATTAGCTGTCGCTAATTTTGCAGCACACTCCACGCTCTGATCATAACAATACTGTAATTTGGACTGCGGAGCTATTTTTTTCCCTCTCCGCCTGCAGTGAAAGTAGAGGTGGGCGAGCAGGGCTACTAATGGCACTAAACTTGAGCTTGCTCAAGAAGTTGCACATAATTAATAAAATTGTTCTGAAAGCCATGGAGTTTAAAATTGCTTGAATTGTTAAAGTGTAGTTCAACAAGCTGTCCTCCTGCACGGTTACAATTGATCCTTTGTATATGAGGAGAGGAGGTGAGGTTCCAAGTGTCTTGGAGATAGAAAGGAATGCAGCTTCACAGCAAATGATTTTAAAATTTTGAATTGCAAAACAAAAGATTTGATCTTATMAACCACTGATCAACATCTTGTCACAGCATTTAGCATCATTTTCTTTAATCACACAGACTCTCTTGGGTAGTAAATATAACCTTGACTTACAGTTTTCCATCTGGCTGCCATCCAGCATTCTCTGTAACAGACAGTGGTTGGTTGTTCAGAATGATGAAACCGAGGGAGTTTTCTGTAATCCATTTACCCTTTTCTGGTTTCTGCTGAAAATCGTTCTGGCTTCAATAAAAAACGAGTTTCAGCAGAGCAGAGTCCTCTCCTTTGTTGCTGATATTGTACAATCCAACACAACCRCATTTAATGTTTGATTTAAACACAACAAGTCGCTGCCTTACATTTTCTGTAATCTAGCACTAACACATCTCCAAATGAAGGACATGATGAACTTTCAGACAGGCTGCATCTCTAAAAGCCGCTTGTGTGCGCTACTTGTTTTATGAAAACATAAATTTGCGTGACTCTCCTTCAATTATGGTAATAAATTTACAGATACATGAATATTTAATTGCCCAACTACATCCTAAAGTTAAGGACTCCTCATGATAATTATTAATAATTTATCGTAGTAAATTATTATTGATAATAAATGATCAGAACTGTGTGCAGCAGATGATCTGAGTCCAGAGTTGTCAGTTTGAAACCTTCTGAAGCTCTTCTGTGTGACTCTAGGTGTGACAGAGTGTGGATGGTTGATTGTCT